TGCAGCCATCATTGTTGTTTGGCGGGCCTGGGCTGGGGATTCAAACCCGCCACCTTAGGTGTGTGTGGCTGGTGCCTTAGCCACTTGAGCCACAGGCGCCGAGCCTAAACACAAAAATCTTGAACTGTCCTGTCTCTTTTCTCAGGATTAAGTATTTATGGTTTCTTTACAAAGAGGTAATATGAATACTGGTTAATAGCAAAGTGTCTGGAGTCAGACTGTTTTAGTTCAAAACCTGCTTTTCCACTTTTGGTTGTATAACCTTGACCAGTTATTCAATCTCTTTATACCCTCATCTGTAACATGAAAACTGCAATAGTACCTTAGAGTGTTGTCAAGAAGATTAATTATAGAGGAGCCTGGCACATAAGAAATAATAAATGTTAGCTGTCAACATCATTATCATCTACATACTTCTTGCCACACTCTTTTTCATATAACTCCATTCTGGACTTCCTTTAAAACCACACTTATTTATCTAGTATCTAGATAACTTACTTATCTAGTATCTAGTATACTTATCTAGTATCTCTTTTATTAAATTCTACTGTTACTTTGCTACTGCCTATAAACATGCTTCATTTTCCCCATTGTTTTCCTGCTAAACAAAACCAAAAAACAACCTTTTGGCTTGGCGCCTGTAGCTTAAGCGGCTAAGGCACCAGCCACATACACCACGATTCACCACTTTTCTAAGGAGCCTTTCACTGAATAATGGTTTTGAGAAACCAAATTCTGGGTGCAGGTGTGCTCATTGCTACTTCTAAACCATCTCAATCACAGCCAGGAAGTGTGTTTATGTTTACTAATACACATATGTTTATATTTATTTCTGTTTCTACCTATCTGTGTTAAAAGCCATGAATTCATATTGAAATCTTTGGTTCCAAAGGGTTTATTCTAGCCTTCCCCCTTTCCTTATTTGTAATTTAATTTATTATCCACAATATAATTACTTGTTTATCCCAGTATACACATTAAATACTTTCAGAATTCCTAACCCATCCCTGTATAAGAAATAAACTCGCCAACTAGAATACAGTATTAGATATGGATAGAACTATCCATTGTGTTTTAACCTTACAGAATACCATCAAAATGCTATATTCCAAAGATATGTAAGTTACCTATTTCCCCCCCCTTATGTATTATAATTAAATAATTCAGAGTTGTCACTCGCTCCTCAGCCTGCTACCCCGTTCCCATTTCCCTACTTTCTATCCCTTACTTTAGGTAAGTAATCTTATTAATTACAAGTTTTATCCTTCTAACATTTCTTCTGAACAAATGAGTATTTTCTTGTATCTTCCTTTTATGTGAACAATAGTATACTATATATTGATATCCTTCACTTAACAATATATCTGGAAGTCACCCCATATCAGTTCATAAAGATTTTCCTCTTCCTTTTTTACAGCAGTATAGTACTTCACTGTGTGCCTGTACCATAGTTTATTCAACTGCTCTCCTACCCATAAGTATTTAGGTTGCTTCCAACATTTTATTGACATCAACATAACTCAAATTTTACCATTCCCAATCCTTTTACTGCCAAGGTTTTATCAGCATTTGGACCTCAACTTTTCTCATGCCTATAAGACCACAGCATAAAAAAATCCTAATATATCCATAAATCTCTTGTGAGGAACCCTATTGGCTCCCCCTAAAGTGATATGACAACTCATACTTTTCTACTAGGTTGAAACATGTTCCTCTAAACACAAAAATCTTTTTTTTTTTTTTTT